AGATCAAGGGCCCCAAATTCAAGATGCCACATATTTCAGGCCCCAACATCAAAATGCCCGACTTCAACCTCAAAGGGCCAAAGATCGAGGGAGACTTCAAAGGACCTAAAGTTGACATTGATGCTCCTGACGTGAGCTTTGAGGGTCCAGATGTTGACATTGAGGGTCCAGAAGGTGGATTTAAGATGCCCAAAATCAAGATGCCCAAATTTGGCTTCAAAGGTCCTAAAGTTGAGGGTCCTGATGTTGACCTTTCAGGTGACATCAAGGGGCCAGAGGTCAATATTGAAGGTCCAGATGTTGAAATCGAAAGGCCAGAATTTAAGTTGCCAAAGTTTAAGGGGCCTAAGTTCGGAATCAAATCTCCCAAACTGGAGGGCCCAGAGGTCGAGCTTCCTTCTGCTGAGATTGACGTTTCTGGACCCAAGATCAAAGGGGATATCAGAGTCCCAGGAATGGATCTGGATGTGAATGCTCCAGGTGCAGACATTGACCTGAAGTCCCCAGACTTCAGTGTAGAGGGCCCTGATGCCAACATTAAGATGCCCAAAGTGAAGAAGCCAAAGTTTGGTTTGGGCATCAAGAGCCCCAAAGCAGACGTGAAGCTGCCAGAGGGAGACGTCAGTCTGGAGGCCCCTGATGTCAACCTCAAGGGGAAGAAAGGCAAATTCAAAATGCCGAAGGTGAAGGCAAAGGGAAAGAAACCTGACCTGAGTGTGGACGTGAAGTCTCCTGAGCTTGATGTGGACATTGGCTCTCCTGATGTCAACCTCAAAGGGCCCAAGGTCAAGAAACCCTTGTTTGGAAAACTGCATTTCCCTGATGTTGAGTTTGATATAAAGTCACCGAAGATCAAGGGTGATGCTTCTGTTTCTGGGGGGCTGAAGACCCCAGACATGGACCTGTCCTCCCCAAATCTGAAAGCTGACATCCAGACGCCAGACGCTGAGCTCCCGGATGTCAGCATGGAGGGCCCGGATGTCAAGGTGAAAAAACCCAAGATCAAGATGCCCAAATTCAACATTTCAGGGCCCAAACTGAAAACCCCCGACCTGGACCTCAAGGGTCCAAAACTTGATGCAGAACTGAGTGGTCCAGATGTGAGTGTGGATGCACCTGATGTAGATCTGGAAGGCCCGGAAGTAAAGGGCAAAGGGAAGTTCAAAATGCCAGGATTCAAAATGTCAGCCCCCAAGGTATCTGGTCCAGATTTTGACCTGAATCTTAAGGGCCCAAAAATAAAGGGAGATGTAGATGTGTCTGGTGACATCAAGGGGCCCAGACTGGACATTGAGGGACCTGATATGAACATTGAAGGACCTGAGGGAAAG